TTTAGATATAGACTATATTAATTATACTGTTGATGGTTGATTAATTGTAAGTTGTGACAGAGTAAGATGAGTGAGAAGTACAAAAGCCATTGCACAAGCACATTAATGTCTCTCCATGGCTTCCTGATATCTATTGCCTTTGCTCTCTGCTTTGAGAGGGATTGGAGCCAATGGAAGTGGGTGGAATATTAGGCTTCTCACTGTGGCATATGCGGTATATACTTATATTTCTTTTCTTTTTTTTTTTCTTTTTATTGGTTTTAATGCTTGTAAAAAATTATTAAAAAAAAATCCAAACTAAGTTACATGTGTGTGTTATAAATTTTGTAAAGTCCCATCAGTTTCTTTTTTTATTTTTATAATTTAATTAAAATGCATGTATTTCTTTGATGAGTAATAAAAATAATTATATTCAATTTGTAGAGAAATTTTAACTGAATTAAAGTTTATATAATTATATTGACTATAATAAAAATAAGGTATGTAAGTGAATTATATAAAAAAGATCACTCACATTAAATCAAGAAGGTTTTAGACCTTGACTTCTACTTATACTGAGTTAGCCTCAACAGGACTCAATTTTATAAATGGTTAATCAAGTTATGTTTAATTTAATAAATTAACGATTATTAATATTAATACTTTCTTGATAATTGTTTTTCGTAAAAATATTTTTATTTAAATTCTAATTTTTATATAACAAAATAAACACTATCCATTTATTTTACAGGGAATGGTGCCATCCGGATTAACTGTGGTAATGATTGCATGGTGTGTCCACAAAAGAGGACCCTTTTTGTGTCAATATTCAGCCCTCTCTTGCTCGTCATTTTGGCGTTTGTTGGATCTCTCTATTAGATGAAATGCTTCATCTTGGAAGGTATTTACATTTTCGGGAAAAATTAAGTGTAAATAAATAGGTGAAAATTTTGAAGAAAGAAAAAGTTAATTAAAAATGTACTGCAGATCTGCAATTGAGTTTCTAAGAATTATCAATCCAAAATTTTTGAAGATATTGAAACTCGATTGCAGAAATGATCTTCAAGTGCTGGTCCTTCCTCTAAAATTTTCACTCATTATTAGCCCTTATACCCAATTTCCCTATATATTACATTCGTAATGAAAATAAATTACATTATACTTTTCATAAATTTTATATGGAAGTGTGAAACTTAATTATAATCGGTGTATATGTGCAGGTAATTGGAGGTGTGTGATAGTGGTTGGATTATATGCAGTTCTCTGGGGCAAAGCAAAGAGATGAAAATGAAGGTATCTTTTGTGCATTCACAGATCGAAATCATCGTTGAATCTTCTCGTGAAGATGACAAAACCAACCATAAAAATAGCATTCACCCTTCAAATGATGCTATTGAAACATGCTGATCCAAAAAATGGAAGTGTTAGAGAGCATGTGATGATGCACAAACTGGAGCAGAGAAAAATAGATAATATTTTTATTTAAAAATAAGAAAGAATAAAGAATAGTTAGTACCATCTATATAGCATAGAAAGTTTGAGAACCATCCACAAGCCGTGCTACATGCTCTACTCAAGTGTAGTGTGAATGCGCCAGGCAGAAATTAGATTAGTGTGTGCTTGTAACCATATTCAGATTAAGGACCTTATACATCTTGCAACTTACACTTGCTGGTTATTTACCATTGTTTTCTTCGATCAATTGGTTGGAAAATTGATCTAGCTTAACTAAAAATTCAAGTTTAAGTTAAAGATTTGTAACGGCAATTAAATTCTTGATGAAAAGTATGTCATCTTAGAGACGCCCACAGGTGTTGACCAGATTAGTCTGGATCAAAACTAGAGATAACCAAAACCACAAAAAAAAAAAAAAAAATATTTTCTCTAATTTTGCAACTTTACTGGCTCAATTTTCAAAGATAACTCATTTGGCCTTTAATATAAACTATGTCTTTTTCTTATAAAGATTCCCCTTCATATATTTAATGTTACCAAGCTGAGGAGTCAGAGATTGAGTAGCATGCAAGAGCATGAGGGAAATTATGTGCAGATGAGCTAAAACTAAAAGCAGTCATGAGTTTCTTGAGGTTTAAATTGGTTCAACATCCCTATACCTTTTGTCCAATATTTATTAAAGATCATTAAAAAAAATCATAAGTTAATATATAATAAAAAAAAGAACAAGAATAGTTAAGGCCAATCCAGAAATAAAAGCTCACACCTATCTGGCTGGACCAACAAAGCAAACCATCCTGCAAAAGAGGAACTGAGGAAGAAGATAACACAGATCTTTTTAACATGGAGGAATGTCATCAATAAACAAAATCTACAGCTTTTAATCCAACAAAAATTTAACAGGCATAAGCATGTAGTTCGTTTATTACATTTAAAATCAAGTACCCATCATGATACACAAGCATATTCATACCTTCCATAGATACACATTCTGTCATGGCAACATTCTTTGCTTGTCAAAAAGAGAAGTATGCGTCATGATAAGTCTCTGAACCCTATTCACCTAAATGCACATCATACCATGTACAATCTAGTGAAAACACAGCCTTTCTAACACGATATCACATCCTTATCACAATTTTGGCGTCAAATATTCGATATCGTCTACTGCCCCAGATGTCACGTTTAGAAGTGTAGTAAGACTGAGATACGCGATATACCAAACACACCTGCACCAGACTTTAGAAGTGTAACGAGTTCATCTTCTGTATTAAGATGGTATTGCTAGGATAGCCACCATAGAAAAAGACATGACCAGACACAGAATATAGATGACAAGGCAACAGATGAGACTTCGTATTTTGGAAAATAATTAGGCAAGAACAAAGTCTTAATGTGCGCATCCAAAAAACCAACAATTGCATTATACATGCTAGAAACGAACATCGCCTCTTAAAAAGTAATGAAGCATGATTAGTCGAATTCAAGTAAGATTCTTAAAGTTAACTAAGAATTTACCCTGGTTTGGATGAGAAGAAAAATAGAGAGAGAGAATATTAGGAAGAAAAACTCGCAAAAATAGTTTTAAATAAAAATTATACTTTTGGGGGTTTTCTCTCCTTTCTATTTCCTCCTACTTTTCTTGCTATTCAAACCAAACCTTAACGACGTTGCCAGTAATCTACAATGATGAAGCAGCTAAAAATATTTGTACCCCATCATCAGCATACACAAAAACATGGATCCTATCCGTTGAATGCTCTAGGGTCAGGCGCATCACATAAATCCCACGTTTCGAGGAAGTTTTCAGGTGACCATGGCATTGCGGCTGCTACTCGAACAATACACTTGTTTTGCGGTCAATAATTCTTCAAACCAATATATATAGAGAGAGAGAGAGAAGTATGTAACATCAACAAATGCAAATGTCTAAGATAAATAGGTACTTTTCTTTGAGAATTCAGAGCCTAGTAGGCAGTATAGACACTTTTTATCAATTAAAAAAAGCAAAGAACATAGAAAAGAGTAACAGTATTTTATTGTATGACAACATTATTAAAGATAGAGTAAGCAAGGGAATCAAAGCTCCGCAAATGTAAGGCCGAACAAAATGCATTATGATACATCTGAATGGGTGGGAACATCCATTAAAGTATCCAATCGGGCATAATCATGATCAACCACCGTCAGGGGGGGGGAACAAATTGCACAAGAAAATATATGTTTGAAATCATAGCATTGAAAACAACACAAAACAATAATGAAATTCGCTTACCATAAAAAACTATCTCAAAAATGAATACAAAAGACAACAAATCGAAACATCAGTGAATTGATCGACTATTCCAATTATCTTATGAGCCAACAGAGTGGACAAACACCTTTCGTGCTGTTTTATGATATCATCATTCCATATGTGCCCGAGCTTTGTAAATGGAGTCAACACGCCATGCCATAGTCCTGCATTCACTTCAAGACGCATGTTGAAAAATGTGACCACTTGCCATTTTTAAAAGTTTTAGATGGTTCTTCTCCATGCTTTTGCCTTAACGCTACTCTCAAGATGGACCCAACGGTAGCAAAAGTACACACAACAATCCTCTTGGCATAGGCACTAGTTCATGATGTAAGGGAAGAGGATTGTGCAGTTCATCTTCTAACCTGCAATTTGTGGAAAGACCATCGACTTTCTTTGACGATGGTGCAATGCCATCACAAACTAACTAATATATACTACACAAATATATAATTGATTGTGTATTCGTCTAGCCCAATTATTGTTCGGAAAAATGCGAAAGATCAACAAGCAAAAGAAAAAGTCAATTCCAGGCACTACTACATCACCCTTTATTAGAATAATTATTGGAGTATATGTTTATTTTCAAATTTTTGTCGCCAATTTACTTTTAATTTATATCCTATTTTATATCAGGAGGTACATTTTCCTATTTTGTGGTTAGTTTATTTCCTAATATATACCCAAAGGCTTTCTGTTTTTTATGGAGCACAATAACGTTGTGTAATCCAAATAGCTGACCTTACTTAGTGGAATAAGACTTCTTGTTATAAATGCCGTTACTCTTGGGGTTGCTCACCGTTAAGGTTTTCTTTTATTGCTCATGAATACCAAAAGCTGTGTAATGTAGACGTCATGATTTTGATCAATAATAATTCCGCGTTTGAGTTTTTTTCTCTCTTAAATAAGTTAGGCTCTAAATTTCATTTGTCTTGTATCCATTGAGATAATTGGTTATATACAGAAATTGTATTTGTAGCATATTGAAATGCACAAATAAAATTACATCATGTGCAACATGTAAAGACTAACCACCTGTAAAAGACTTCCTAACAAGTTCAGCATATAAATTTTCTTTCGCACCTGGGTTAAAGGCTCTTTCCAAAGGAATTTATGCCCACCTCTTCCCTTGATTATATTCAGTTTGGACAGGAATTGTATGTGTATCCCTTTGATTTAAAAGACACAAGCCCCAAGCTGGAGATGGTAATGACACTTTTTGATAAATAGTTTTTCTATTTCTTAAATTAGCTTCTTATTTTATAATTGTCTGTTGGATGTGGGCCAACTTGACCTAAGCCCATCTGCTAGTTTAACCTAACCCTAATAGGATTTATTGTTAGTATCTTTATCTTATTAGAAATATTTTTTTTACATATTTATAGGGATTATAGAATCAGATTATCTGCTGTTATCTTTTTCTAGTTATTAGAGCAGATGTTGATACGATATTATCAAATCTTTGCTCTTCTATATGTATGCTCCTCTCTGTTGAATGGAAGTAAGCCTTTTCGCACTGCATATTCTCATGGTATCAAAGCGACACCACTCATGTCATATAAGGCAGTGCTAACGGGTCCTAGAGCCTTCGCCACCAATGGTCTAGAAACTCTCCAGCACAAGGAGGGGGCTTAAATGGGGATGCTGAAGGGGGTGGTGCGAGTTCTCTTGGGGATTCAGCAATTTGCACACGGACTCTCTCTCAACTTATCATCAACCATTGTCTAAATGGGAACAATTACTTGCAATGGTCCAGAAACGTGTTACTATAATATGATAAGGTACGAGGAAAGCTGTAAGGCTCTTATTCAGCTTCCCTCTTCAACTCCTTTACCAGCTGCAAAATCCTCTGCTATGGTGGCTTGAGGCAACCAAGGGGGAGATTCAAAAGGGAAGAAGTCTCTCCATTGTGATCATTGCAGCAAGAATGGTCACACATGAGAGAATTGTTGGAAAATACATGGTAAGCTAGCCCACCTGAAGCAACAGAATAAAAGTGACAATAAGGTTTCATGGCCAGTCAAACTGCTAGTGAAGGAATTGTCTAAATAATGAAGAACTTCTTGTGCTCAAGCGAATTCTAGAAAGACATGCTCAAGAAAAACCAAGTGAGAAATCTTCCCCCTTAATTACATTGGCTCATGCAGGTACAACTCTACATACTGCTTTAAGTACTGCCACTGAATGTAAGAACATTTGGGTAGTTGATTTTGGTGCTACAGATTACTTACTGGAATTCCAGGACTTATTTTTCTGAGTTCAATCCTTATTCTAAGCACACAGGTGTGCAAATGGCTTGTGATACTTATGCACAGGCTATGGGGTCCAAAAAAAATTGCTTTCTGTTGGGTGCTCAAAATAATAAAAGGAAACGATAGGAATAAATCTATAAGATCATATAGAACAAGAATCCCGTTCTATACTTCTCTCAATAGCCAGCTTAGGAGAATCTCCAAAGGGTTTGAAAGACTATTTTATTAATTTTCTGATATGCTAGCTTCTAAGTTGCTAGTCATATTTATAATGCTAAATACAATTTAAAATAATAAATAAAATCTAGATAACAATATCACTAAATAAACTCTCCTAAAATCTAAGTAGATAAAATACTGAATCTAAATAAAATTTAAAGATCTTAATGACTAAATAAAATCTGAATAAATATCTAAAAATCAAATAAAAAATGAAACCTATCTTAATTTATCTTTTGCCGCTTACTTCTTGAATAAATCTGAATTTTATCCAGGATCTTATCACTTTCAGAGTCTCATGTTAAGTAATGCGTTATATGTACCTCACATTCAATGCAGTGATGTAGTCTGCTGTCCATTAAATGCATGGCTTGTTAGTTAAATTGCATTGCTATCTTTGACAAATTTCACTGTGTTTTCAGGATCTAGCCTCAGGGAAGATGATTGGCAAAGCTAAGGAAAACAATGACTCTACTACTTTGAAGGAAATCTAAAAAATAAAGGCTGCTTAGCTCATTCTAGTTCTAGTTTCAATTCTGTTTTTGCTTCCGCTGTTATGTCTCAAGAAGACATTTTGTTACAGTATTTTTGATTAGGTCACCCCAGTTTTGATTATATGAAAGTTTTGTTTCCAAATTCCATGACTAAAGTCAATTTTCCTCGTGATATTTGTCAGTTTGCTAAACAAACTCACAACCCCTATCCTGCTTCTACTTATACTCCCTACTAAACCCTTCAATCTTGTGCATAGTGATGTGTGAGGTCCTTCTAAAATTGAAACTCACTCGAAAGCCAAGTAGTGTGTTACTTTTATTGATGATCACACCCGTCTAATGTGACTTGTTTTAAATAAAGACGAGTATGAAGTTGTTACTCTCTTTAAAAACTTTTATAATTTTGTTAAAGATAAATTTCAGACTAATATTGAAATTCTTCGTAGTGACAATGGACCTAAGCATTTGGACACATTTTAAAAACCTTTCTTGCTGAAAAAGGGCTACACATTAAACTTCTTGTGTGCATACACCATAACAAAATAGAGCAGCCGAGAGGAAAAATAGACATCTTAAAGGTAGCTAGAGCCCTTTTATTAGGCAGCAATGTACTGAATAAGTTTTGGGAAGATGCAGTCCTCATGGCTGTGTATCTTATCAACCATATCCCATCCAAAGTCCTCAAGTTCAAAACTCCTCTCCAAAGTTTTTTAGAGTCTTATCCCTACTCAAATCCCATTAATTCTCTTGTGAAAGAGTCTTTGGATGTGTAGCTTTTGTGTTTAATGATGATGAGGGTGGGAAACATTATTATCATTCTATTAAATGTGCCCGTTCTTGGGTTACTCCTCAACAAAAAAGGGTACAACTTCTATTCTCCCGTAAAAAGGAAGTTTTATGTCACTATGAGCATTAATTTGTTGAATCACTACCATTCTATCCCTAATTACCCATTCAGGAGGAGAATGATAGTAAATGATTATTTGAGAACTATAGATGATCACTTAAGCAATCAATCCACTAGCATCACTAATATCAAACCTTACACATCACTTGATCCTGTCCAAGATTATACCAGTCCTATCCAGCATAATTCTGACCTTGAAATACTTATTTCTGAAGCTGAAACTTAATTTGATCACCATGCCAGTCAAGAACAACCTTCTACTAACTCTCAAGATTCTATGTTTGACTTTCATATGCATGAAACGGGAAAATCAGCCTGAAAAAGCCCACAAATAGCAAAGGTTCTAAGGCAGAGTCATGATTCACAACCTAAGGTTAATCCTGAAGATCTTCAGTGGCCTATTGCTCTTACAAAAGGCAAGAGGAGTTGCACTCAACACCCCATTGGAAGGTATGTCTCTTACAAAAGCTTAAAACCTTTGTCACTGCTCTTGATAATGAAGAAAAACCTAGAACATTTGAAGGAGCCAGATCTGACCTGAAATGGAAATTGGCTATTGGAGAAGAATTGAGGGCCTTGGACAAAAATAAGACTTGGGAAATTGTTGATTTGTCATGTGGGAAGTCAGTTGTAGGAAGTAAATGGGATTTTACTAAGAAGTACAACTCTGATGGGAGTCAAAATAAATATAAAGCACCACTAGTTGTAAAGATTTTACCCAACCTATGGCGTTGATTATCAAGAGACATTTGCATCTGTGGCTAAATTTAATACCATTAATGTTTTGTTGTCTCTCACTGCAAATCTAGACTGGCCGTTACAAAAACTAAATGTTAAGAATGTCTTCTTAAATGGGAACTTGGAAGAGGAAGTGTACATGGAGATACCCTTAGGATTGAGAGGACCCGAGAATGCAAACAAAGTTTGTAAGCTCCCTAAATCCTTGTCTGGAATAAAGCAATCACCTAGAGCTTGGTTTGAAAATTTCACATGTGCTTTTAAGGGATTTGGTTATAATCAATGCCAAGCAGGCCATACTTTATTTGTAAAGAGGTCTGGCCCAAAACTAGCTGTACTAATCTTCTATGTAGATGTTATTGTGCTAACAGGTAATGACATTGAAGAAATTGACAAAATGAAGAAGAAACTCACTGCAGAATTCAACATTAAAGATCTTGACCACCTGAGATAATTCCTTGGATTGGAAGTAGCTCAGTCATCTAAGGGCATTAATGTCACATAGAGAAAATATAGTCTGCATCCCCTCAAAGAAGCTGGTATGTTAGGTTCTAGACCTGTAGATACTCCAATGGAGCTTAACTGCAACCTGGAAAAAAAAAACTTGATGGAAAATCAAACAATAAAGCGAGGTACCAGAAATTGGTAGGAAAACTGATTAATTTATCGCATACTTGGCCAGATATATCCTTTGCTGTTGAGGTTGTAAGTCAGTTTACAACTAATCCATAGAAGGAGCATATGGAAGCTGCCTATCATATTCTCAAATACCTCAAGACAACCCCAGGGAAGCGATTATTATTTTCTAAAGGAGACAAAAAGAGTGTAAAAATCCACACAGGTGGAAACAAGAGAACACCAGGCGTTGAAAATGAAATAGATGTAGAAGTTTACACTCATGCTGATTGGGCAGGATCCATTCACGATAGGCGCTCTACTACAGGGTATTGCACCTTTGTGTTGGGTAATCTTGTGACTTGGAGAAGCAAAAGACAACCAATTGCGTATAGGAGCTCAGCAAAATATGAATATAGGGCCTTAGCTCTTAGAATTTGTGAAGGCATATGGATTGTACAATTACCAAAAGAGCTCGGCATAGAACCACAAACTCCTATTAAAATGTGGTGTGACAGAATCACCGCCTTAAAGATTGCCAACAATCCAATTCAATATGACTGTACAAAGCATGTGGAAAAAAATTTAAGCTAAAGTCATAGATCTCTCCCACATTCTATTAGGAAAGCAAGTTGCAGATGTGATGACCAAGCCTTTTGTGTGAAACAAGTTTGATGAGCTAATAGGCGAGTTGGAAATAATCAACATCTATTGACCAGCTTGAGGGGAAGTGTTGAATGTGTGCTGACTTGACCTAGGCCCATCTGCTAGTTTAACCTAACCCTAATAAGATTTATTGTTAATATCTTTATGTTATTAGAAATATTTTTACAGATTTATAGGGATTACAGAATCAGATTATCTGCTGTTACCTTTTCTAGTTATTGGAGCAGATTTGATACGATATTATCAGATCTTTGCTCTTTTATATGTACACTCCTGTCTGTTGAATGGAAGCCTTTTCAAACTGATATTCTCATTATCTCAAGAAAGATTTTATCTCGTTATTGTGAAAATCTGGCCAACCTCATGATTCTCGTCAAAATGTAAAATTAACTAGATAGATATCAAGTAATTGACAAACATGCAAGCACCAATATAATTTTCCAAACACTCTAGAATCATACTGATTGGATCAGACCTGTGGAACTTATATCAAATAGAAGGTTCCAAGATCCCCCCAAGGAAAAGAACCTTAAAATGGCACACCTATATAAGCCGTCTCAAAGTTAATTAAATCAATGTGCAGATAACTACAGGCATGAAGTCAGTATAAATATTTGGAAGTAATGTTCATTGCTCCTCCCACTATTATCTTAAATAGTTTGTTCCATCCTCACATCTGTAGTTCTTAGTCAGCCCTTTCCACTGACTCCTATATCCATTAGCCGATTATAAGAACCAATAACAGTAATAGATTTCTGTATGATTTATGCAAAATTAACATCAACGTGAGAAAAGGGTTAAAATAGCAATGTAGAACTAAATTGAAATTAACTCATTTTGCACTCATACTGTTTGGTGGCAAATCCGTACCATCCCAAACAAAGACAATCCGTTCTTGATTTGCAGTCTCACAATAGTGAAGTATCTTAATGCACAAAAAACAAATTGAGAAGCATCTGATTATCAGAACTATATAATGGTAATAACGTAAACGGTGTTTCTCTTGTTTAGTTACCACAGAGGGGCCAGGGATGTACAAGAACATATGCGTGTTTCACAAGCAGATACAAAAATCAGAATAAGAAAAATACCTTGCATGCCAGACTGCAGCAATCTCCTTCCTTGGTTTCTCTTAACATTGGAAAGCCATAAGAATCTACACAGAATATGCAAACCTTAAATATCCAACATGAACTTAGCTTCAAAATAGCAAGCAAGGAGATGAAATTACAAGAAAACCAAAAGCTACAGATACCATGAAATCAATGACTCATCACACAAGTATTGCTTTCAGTAGTAACTAATTGCTAATTGCGCTAAAGCTAAACAAATTTATAAATACATCTAAGGGTTAATTCATAGATTATCTGGTTTCGGAAACCCATATTTAAATGATTTACAGTTACTTTCAGTTATGAAATTCATATTATTTTCACTGCAGCACTGCACCAAAATGTGTGTATTGAACAATACGTGCATGCACATCACGTGTAGTTTGGACTAAACCAGTTAAAAAATGAATCAGCTGCTCTCAAAGCATATTAAATGCCACTAGACCTTGAACGGGCTGAGAATTGACCAGCTTCTAAGCTCAGCTAAGGGCGTTTTGTCCTTATCTCTAGGGACAAAATCATCGGTGTCTTTCCCATTATGTAATGCAAAAGAGGAAAACATTTTATTGAAGACAGCATTTACGTCATCACCATGCGTTTTTTACCTACAGAATTAGAAAACATATATTGAATGCAGTACTCAATCAAAATTTGAATTCATCTTCATCGTATTTTCATTCTATAAGATAAAATTGGTGCATTTATAAGAAATCAAACCCAATAATATAAGGCTCTTTAAAAACTTGTCACAAAAATTGACTGAAAATTTTTGAAGCCTTTATACGTAAAATGTAAAAGTGTAAAATGTTTAAAAACAGATATGCATATCATTTGTATTTATAATGTTCGAGGAAATTCAATCATTCAGTCAATAATATTATAATATTACCTTCTTATATATCAAGCCAACTAATAAAGTGGTTGTAAATTCACATTCTCATTCTAGTCCTAGAAAGTAAGTATAGTTGACTTCCTTTTTTTTTTTTTAAGTGATAAGAGTAGATGACTTTCATAGTTGCTTTCTTACTTTTACTTTTGTTATTCTTTGCCCCATTTTTGTTCTTTTCCAGGTAAACTGAACCACTCCTCAACTTCCTAAAAACCTTCCCTCACAAGGGATAAGTACCTGAGTTATATCATAGAACTTGTAAGTCCTAATGCCAAACCCTGAATTAAGAAAAACCGATGAGAACTTCCTTCATATCATTGACCCTTCTCACCACAAAGTCAAACTACCTCCCTTTAGTCTCACACTATCATTATCAAACTGCATATTCATTTCAAAACCTAAATCCCTTCATGCAATCAAAACATGAACATCATGGAAAAAACCACATGAAATGGCAAACAATAGCTAAAATTGAATATTTCAAGAACTTGGAAGTCAGAGTGAGACAGAGAAAACCAGTATACAACTAATTTTGCTAAACTTTACTTAAATGTAGGTGCTCAGAAACAAATATTATTGAAGAGAAACGGTGCATAAAAATATTCAATAGTCAACAGTAGTCCAGAAAAACAAAGCAAACATGTTTCTAGAGAATCCACTATCAAATCTAGCTAGAAGAAGAAGACCGTTACCATGACATTAAAAAGCTGAACTATGTCTCCTCTTCCTACAACATTAGGAAGCTGTTGCGAGCTTTCAGCAAAAATATTAACGAGCAGCCCAGGTTTCTGACATGATTCATCAATTATTCTTGAGGTACAATAGAAATCTGCAAGAACTATTCAAGTAAGCCAATAAGCAAGGGCAGAAAGCATTTCATGCTAATAACTAACCAAAAATAACTTCCAGTTTTCCACCTGAAGTAAAGTCATAAACCAAAACCTAGCCTTTTTAAGGTAAGATCCAATAAAAGTAAGATGACCATAAAGGCACGAGCTCAGAAAAGCACAAATATGCAAAACAGTTTGTACAGCAGAGGGAGTTTCCCAGAAACCTAAAAACAACCAAGTTTAAGAACAGTTCAGCCATTTTGAACTTACCCCCACACAAAAAAAGTTTTAGTATACATTAGCATCAACCAAAACATAATCATGAAACTGGCTCAGAACATATACCTTGACAAAATCATTCATCAACTACTCTACTACCAGTAAGTGAAATGGCAGCCATAAGTCCGGCCTTTGATTCTTCATCGCCAGTCAAAATCTAAACCAACCAAACTTCAATCTCCAAATACTTTGAAAAGTAACATGAGTTTGAAAAAGATTGTGAAATCTGAATAATTATTGATCCATTTGGGATCCAAATTCATGAAATTAAAAAAAAAATTGCAAGGTATTAAAACATGACCAAAAATCTAGCCTAAGGTGATAACCATAAGGACACAACCTCAAGAAGCACAAAAAGTATAAAAGGAAAACAGTGCAGCAAAATGAATTTCCCACTTCCTAGAAATCTAAAACAACCAAGTTTAACAACAGTTGAATCACATTGAACTTCACCCACTAAAATAGAATACTTTTAGTGCATATTGATAACTGTTATCAACCAGAACATAATTAATCATGAAACTGGCTCAGAACATGCACCTTAAAGAAAAAAAATCGTCAATCTACTACCCAGCGAACTAAATGGCAGCTGTAAGTCCGGCCTTTGATTCATCATTCACCAGTCCTAAGTCTAAACCAACCAAACTTCAGTATCCAAACACTTTGTAACTTCAACATGAATTTAAAAGAAAAAAGTGAATTTTGAATGATCCTTGCTCCATTGGAGATCCAAAATTGTAACATCATATGCAATGTTTAAACAGCAGGATCCTTCAAATGGAAAGTTCACCAGTGCCCCTACTTCGCTTTGGCAAGCTAAAACTCTGCTATAATGCCCGTTTTGTTCACTGTTTGATTGATACACTTCATGGCATCTTGTATGGGAAGAAACTTGTAGTTGTCTGCAGTTTGCAATTCTCTCAGTAACTCTCTGAGCTCTTACCCTTGCCCGGCTCCTCTGAAAAGCAACCCTGCACCTCACTAAATAAAAATTCATAATTCACAAATAATTTTTATAATTAAAAATAAAAGAGGCTAAGATAAAAAATTTAGTCATTCTCTGGCTACTAATCCTTAATTCAAGTCTAACAATTTCAAAAAGGTTTCCAAAAATTTATTTATCAATAAAATAAAAAAATTATTTATGTTCTCCAATATTTTTAACATCATCACACCCTATCATTGAATCATTTGATGTACATATATTATAAAAGAAATAAAAACCTATAGAAGAGGATTCTTTTTTATATAGAAGAGAATTCCAACACACTAGTTTCAAAACCAGTGGCGAATCCAGGAGCTACTAATTTTGGGGTGGGGGGCCAATTTGAAATTCAGACATAAAGTGAGGGGGCCAAAATCTAATTTAACGTTTTTTACAAGTAAGAAATTATTTTTTTCCCAAAGGGGTATTAAATTTTTTTTTTTTTTTGGGAGGGGGGGGGGGGGAGCCCCTCTTGCCCCCACAGATTCGTCACTTCGAAGCTGCAATTTCTTTTGGGAACCAACCAAAAAGATCTAGCATTACTGTAAAACATAATAAAACAAAAATATCAAGCATCAGTAATCTTTTTTCTTGATGAAAGGAGCCAAAAGGGGGGGGGCGGGGAAATACATTCCAAACATACATTTTCACAATCAAAAGAACTGCGTCTCCCTATGGCAGCCAGAATTAAAACTTACAAGCAGTGAACAGTAAAATCTCAGTTCGTTCCAGATTTAGCTCCTGTTTAACAGCAAAAATCCGTTTTATCGAACTTATATTCAAGGTAGACTACAACTAAGTGAGGATTTGTGCTTTGGAAACCCAAGTCTGAGTGAACTAATTTTGGAGCGATACCCGCGGTAAAAAGAACAAGAAGATAGAGCCACAACAGTTCGGCTCGTAAATGGATGACATGAGAGAAGAGAACAGGAAGTAGAAAATGAAAATGGTATCACTACTTGCAACACCAACTCTTTCGCTGTTCCCCGGGCGATGGAGTAAGAGGCTAACCACCGAAATAAGGTGGCGGCAGCGGACCTCGCACAGTTAGATGTGACCGAAAGGAAACAGCACCAGCTACGACAACTCTCCACTCCCGCAAAATGCAGCCGAGGCCAGGCCAGAGCCTCATGGGCTATACATATTGTTATAAATAAAAATAACTGAGCAGTAAGTTTAAAAAATAAAAATAAAAATCCAAGTGGCCCGTTTTTGTGTATGTCTGCGGTTTTTTTTCCCAATTTTTGGTGATGTACACGTTAAAAACTATGCATTAGTTAAATATTTGACTGTACATTAACTTAATAATTTTTTATTATGAATTAAAAAATAGAGTTTGTATAGTTCTAGATTAATTTTTAAGAAATATAATTGAAAATATAAATTTAAAAAACAAGTAATAATAACTGTGAGATAATAATAATTAAGGGTTCTGGCATTAAAAAACAATAGTTAGGATATACAATTTATTTTGGCATTTATAAGAGTTTTTGAGTATTTTTAAAAAAATTATAATTTTTATTTATTATTGATTTTGACATTGAATATTTTTAAGAAAATTTATAGTTTAAATTTATAATTAATTTTGACTTGTAATAAGATATTTAAATATATTTTTATAAAATTAAATCATAATTTTTCTTTATTTTTAATTCTTCTTTTTAATTTTATTTTTCAATTTTACTTAAAAATTAATTTGTTAATCAATTGTATAAATTAATTATATCACATGACGATTATATTTGAAATCTAGCTGCACTAAAAAGTATAATCCCTTTCAATATAAGACCAAAAAATCAGGTTTTGCGAGATTTCTTCACATTCATAGTGAACAATCAAATTCTTGGCAACATGAATAAAAGACAACTATCTCTCAATGTCATAAAAATTGTTGGTTATTGAGTCGACATATATATATATATAATATTTTGCCAACTATTGACTCGATAATTTGATAAAGAATAACAATATATGTATAAAGTATAAATAAAATAATACTAGATAATCCTGCCATGCTAAGGGTGCCTACTTTCCATGAAGAGGGAGTTTTTTTATCTAACCTTATGCAGGACTGGAACAAACAAAGCTTTTGTCACTATGAGGGACACCAAAATATTTTTTAAAGGTTAAAAAAGCAAAAATATTCAAGAATTTTTTTACTAAAAGTGTGTTTGGTTCAAGGGAGTGAGTGAAGGGGAGGGAAGGGTTTTCATATTATTAGTTTTGTTGGAGCGGAGGGAGAAAGAGAGGTTTTTAATGATCTTTTATTTGGTTTATGAGAGGAGGGGAAGA